AGTTGAATCAAAAAATACCTATTGTTTTTTAGCAATAATTATAAGATAGTTGGGTTTAAACTAATATAATACTTGTCTGATTTAAATACCAGGTATAATTACAGTATTACTTGTATTAATATTGGATACATTGGGTAAGTGATCAGTTGATCATCTATTAGCAAAAGATCAATCTTTATCAAATACTATATAAGCTGGCATTCTGTTCATTTGTATAATTTAAGACCTGTGCTCCAATTTGACCAGCATTTTTTCCTTGAATATTAGCTAAATTTGCTTGCATTGTATTATCAAATAAATTTTTCAATTCTCAATTTTTTTCGTAGATAGTTTTTTTATATCAATCTTTAGCATTACCTTTGAGAGATATTATAAAAACATTATAAGCATTAATTCTATTAGCATGTCCAGCCCCTACATCTATTCCAGAATCTATAAGCCACAATCTAAATTCTTCAATATATTCTTCAGGATTTTCAGTAGGATATCTATTGAATTTTTTTAATTCATAATTCACCATACCTGTTTGATTATTATTATGATTCTGTGGTATATTATTCTGTAGTAATTAAATTTGAACTTGTAAATTTAAAATTAATTGCTGTAAATTATATTTCCTATTTTTCCACTTAATATGACTTGCCTTTCAATCTTTAAATTTATTGTAATATTTATCAAAGAGCTGATTTCAATTATATTCTAATAATTCTTTATCAGCCTGGCATTGTTGTAACTCCTGCTTTAGTTGATGAATAGATATCTTATAAATAATTTTGAGAGGACGCCTGAGTTTAAATTGTTTTTTTAATATCAAGGTAACATTATATCACAAATATCCTCGCAAATTATATCTTTGTTGAATATTATTAAGATCTTGAGTAAGTTGATTGACATGATTTGGCAAGGTATCTTGTTTTGATATAAGTTGATTAACATAGTTTTGCAAGATATCTTGCTCTGATATAAGTTGATTAACATAACTTGAATCTGGAGATTAGCATTTTGCTCTTTAAAATAATTGACATCTTGTTGTAACTGCAATACTTGATTATTATGATCTTCTCGTTGGGCTATAACATCATCTATATCCTGATACATGTTTTGGTAATTAAGGCAGACAGTATTCAAAGAGCCTCTAATGCCATTTATAATATTAATAGAATTATTTAATAGAGTATCAGCACCTCAGATGTGATTTTCAATTCAAGTTAAGCCTCAATCAATTTGTATAAAAAGATCAAGATTCGTCATATCTGTATCTTCTTCTGAATTATATAAACTTGGAAAACTTCTTCTCGAAGAAATAACTTTGAATCTATGCCTTAAATTTGAACCCACTCTTCTGTTCTTGTAATTGCTTCTCTATACTATCGATATAAGATATCTTATCTCGGACCTCCTTTTTAACTTGATATAAGCTTTTTTTAAGGGATGATATTTCCGATCTCAACTCTGCCTTTTCTTCCTCCAAAGCATTCTCAAGCTGTTCTAGTTCTTTATTGAGAGATTGAATTTCATTTTCACACCGGGTATATTTACGTTTCAGATCCTTTATATATTTCTTATTCGACTTGTTGATGGCTACCTCCGATTGTAATATCTCCTGGAGTTCTTGATTAATTTGTTTCAGCTCGAGTTCTTTATCTGTAGCTGATCTATGAGTTGTTCGATTGGGAGGTCGGGGTCTATGAAATGCCATGGTTATTACGAAGTAATGAGACTCTGTCTCTATTTTTTATGGCATATTATATTATCTTATCTCTTGACTTTGCTATAATAAGTAAT